AATGAGGAACTACAATAGTCGCACATCCTGAAGTGAACTATCACATGGCAATGGAAGAAGTCAACGAAATCACAGGCATGACCTTTGGAAATGTTTTTATTTTTTTATTTTATTTTATTTTATTATCCCTCTCTTTATTTTTATTTTTTATCAAAAGGAAAGAAGAGGTGCGAACCTTTGCAGCAGTCCGGAACTCCATGCTAAATTGAAGTTAATTAAATTTACTATAAGCTTATTCCATATGACTTTCCTTGTAGGAACCCTCCTTTGGCCAAAATTCCTCACGAAAGTCGAGCAAAACTTAACACTTTCTTGATGACCATTTTTCGAAGGGGCCTAATTCAGAATCACACCAAATCTATTCTAAAAATGATAAGGGAATGTTTTTACCAAAAATGCCCCATTTTGAAGAGGTGAAAACCTGAAATAACTCCGAAAATTTCGCGATTTTTCGCCCGCTTTTGCATTAGTTTTATCAGGTTGCAAACTTGGATTTACACTACTCAGACATTCTCTAACAACATACAAAATATGCAATTCTCGGCAATTTTTTGCGACCTTAAGCCCTTTTTTGGTACCATACCGCTGGCCTACCATGGATGGCGATTACTGCATAAATAAACACCTCCTTCTAAACATACTTGCCAATGCCTGAAGTAAAAAAACTCTACAACTTTTAAGCGCCAACTTAAAACTATCTGTATCTAGTTTGGATCACCCGATATACCTATACAAATACTTTATAATTTAGGTTGCGAAAGTTAGCACCACCAAGTTTTCCAATCGAGCTGAAATGTTAGCACACGTTTTTGTGCCTATAAATCGTGCTATTTTCGTGCTTTTAATACCAAACATTCATGCTGCATAACAAAACAAGATATTTTTTAAAAAAAACTGTTGGTGTGTTAAACTTTTACACTAGCACACCATGCTTTTTATCTGTTCTGTAATTTCTGTCATAATTTTAGTGCTCAATTCGTGCTATTTCGTGCTGAAATTCCAGCATTCGTGCTACATATTTTAAGCAGTTATTAGAAAAAAACCGTGGTGGTGCTAACTTTACACTAGCACCACCAAGCTGTCCAAATGTAATAAAACTTTGAAAACATTTAGTGATAAATTCGTGCTATTTCGTGCTGCAGAACTAACATTCGTGCTTGAAATTTTAAAAAAATATAGCACCAAAAGTGTGATTGAGCTAACTTTACACTAGCAGTAGCACCCTTATGCCTCCCGATCGAGATAAAAGGGTAAGGTAAAATATACTTTACCTATGTTTAAAAAAAACAATTTTAGTTAAAAAAACAAATTCAATTTACTTATTATAGACAGTTATTTTGTGATCAGCTTTATTGTTCCAAACGACAGCGGGAGTTTGTCATGACTCACCAAAGTGCGAATTTGATCGTCTTTTTACGGTGGCGTCCGGCATTTAAAAAATGCACTATATTTTATACTTATTACATACATCGTTTTCCATATCTTTTTGAATTCGGGAGACATTCGTTCCCTCGTACTTTTGTTCACCATTAGAAACATATAACTCTAATATTCTCTAAATCGAAAAAATTAACTTGAGAACTCTTATCTGGGTCCTAATTTGGGCTCGATTAATAACAAAACCAACCATTTACGGATGAAACAAATTTATTCGACAATCAATGAAATAAACTGCACAAGAGAAAGGTACTCGAGGCCCAATAACACATGTATTCCGCAATAAGCCATCGATCAAATAAATTTAATTTAAATAAAGTTTTCATTACCTTAAGTTAGATACTATTTATCATCCGGTCATAATTGCGCTTTTTAACGAACAAACGCACTAACACATAAAACAAGCAGCGAACTGGTGATGATTCCAGCCTTCACTCCTTTAACTGCTCTTTGATTTAAATGATTTAAATTAAAGAAATTACTGCGTTTTGAATTGTAAATTGGCCCGTGTTTTCTTATCTTGAAACTAATTAGCTATATCAAAACTTCTTATCTACGACCGGAGATAAACTTTTACAAATCCTACGCCATAATTTCCCGGGCCCAGATGTACCTTTGAAATTTCTCGAGGATGCGCAGAGGTCGCGCTGTGAGGGTGCCGGGAGGTATATTGGGGTGAAAATTTAACCGTACCTAGAACTCGCGCTCTGAAATCGTAGGTACTCGGGGGTTTTCGCGGTCATCGAGTTCATATCTGCTCTGAAGTGGAGTGTGTATTATTACAATTCACTCCTCAAAATTCACCCCCATTTCTCTCATATCATCAGGAAATTTCTACGGCTGATCTGGACCCAGGCCCTTTGTCTATACTCCACGAATTCGAACTGTTTGAGTAGATGTGGATTAAACGAGTAAATGAAATGCGGAATGCTATCTCAACATAAATTTTACCCGACGTCTCTAAAAAAATACGGACGTGGACTGTATTTGTAGAGTATGACGTACCTTGACTGCCGGACTCACATGTTTATCTGGTAGTTTAACGAACTTTCATTGTGAAAAATTTGTGTCCAACGTAAGCTTAAATGGTGCGGTACCTACTGATTCACTTTCTCCAAAGAAGTACCTTCTTCGTTTTATAGTAGTTGTATATTCAATCCATTATCGTGACTTTAAGGGTAAAAAAGAAATAAACTGCTATCATTCTATGTAGTAAAAAGAGAAATCCTTAAAAAAGCGGCCATTTCACGTTTGAATTGTTTTTATATTTTATTTGGATCCACCTATAAGGGCGTAGAAATTCATCTCCATTTTCGAAAGCTAATTTTTAATAGTGAGTATCTTGTCCATTGTATTTTGCGAATTGTGTTTCAAATAATAGGTAGTTAGTTTATTTGTGGATATATAACGGGATCGGTAGTTAAGAGTTAATCAAATCATATGCAAGTGAAAGGAGAAGATGACTTTAGTTATTCACTATATAGGGTGAGCTATTAGTGCATGGGTTTATTAATGCACATATTTGAAATATATTTTAAAATAAAACCCAAAAATATCTTCAATGAAATTGCAATTGTTATACAGGGTGATTTCTATCAAAGTCAAATATAACCACCACTATTATTACATATTTCGTTCATTCCGACACTAAGATAGGGACCTTAAATTCGCATATATTTAGCAATATGTGCCCTAACTTCAGCAGTCGAGCTTCCCACCGTAATGTGTAAAATATGCATAATATTATTTATAACAAATGTAAACGGAGCTCCATTACTGTTCAAGGAAGTGTACATTTCATCATCAAAGCAGGTATTGCAATGTGATTCCTTATAAATAACGTATCTTAGGATAATTTAAATGTTTATAGTTGGAAATCTGAATTAGAAAAATTGCGCTTGATTAATGATGAATGGATATCACACGAAGTCTTGCCCAATTACTCACCCAGATGAAGGAAAGTGAAACCTGCAAACAGCATGATTATTTATACTCAGACGTAGAAATTAGACAATAGCATTTTAGTATGGTAATTCTTGGATTGATGAACAGTGTATCATTTGTCTTATTTCTCAAGTTCCTCCAGTAATCAAACTATCACGGAAGGTTGCGCTCGAGTAAGGAACTATTTAGTGGATTGGATTGTTGTTATTGGCTTATTTGAGCTTCTAACAAATATCTCGAAGAGGACACGTTGCGAAATGTTGAATTTGAATTCGATCCAAGTATCATCGTGATCACAGCCAAACATCTAAGTACACTACAAAACCAAGATGGTGGAATTGTGAATTAAAAAACCTAATGCACATTTATTCATAACGGGATATAAATCATAAGTACAGCAATAAATAACAGAAACGATTTATCATACTTTTCATGACGGTTCAAACGTTACGATATTCTAGCAGACATGTAACTTTTATAGAAATTTCTATCAAAACTAGTTATGGTATAACCTTCTGTGATGTGTAGCACAAATGCTTGAGGTTGAGTTTTAGCACAAAATAGCAAAAATTAGAAATTAAATGGTTAATTAACTGTTTAAAATATATAGCACGCATTCTTGTATTGCAGCACAAAATGGCACGAATTGGACACCAAATTTTTTTTAGTTTTTATCCCAATCGGACAGCTTGGTTGTGCTAGTGTTAATTGAGCACCACCACAGTTTTTTACAATAACTTTTTACAACGTGTAGCACAAATTCTTGTATTACAGCACGAAAGAGCACTAAATAAGCACTAAATTATGACAAAATTACAAATAGATTATAAAACATGTTGGTGCTAGTGTAAAGTTAGCACCACCACGGTTTTTTTCTAATAACTGCTTAAAATATGTAGCACGAATGCTGGAATTTCAGCACGAAATAGCACGAATTGAGCACTAAATTTTTTTAAAGTTTTATCTTAAACGGACAATTTGGTTGTGCTAGTGTAAATTTAGCACCACCACAGTTGATTTACAATAACTTTTTACAACATGTAGCACGAATTCTTGTATTACAGCACGAAATATCACGAATTGGGCACTAAATTATGACAAAATTACAGACAGATTAAAAAGCTTGGTGGTGCTAGTGTAAAGTTAGCACCACCAACAGTTTTTTTTAGATATCTTGTTTTGTTATGCAGCATGAATTTTGGTATTAAAGCACGAAATAGCACGATTATAGCACTAAACGTGTGCAACATTTCAGCTCGATTGGAAAACTTGGTGGTGCTAACTTTACGCACCTGAAAAATTAGGTTGGATAAAATAATGTTGTTTTGGCTCCAGTTTTAAATGCAGAGGACTATAAAACCCTAGATAAAACCTATGCATTAACCGTTTAATAATAATAATAATTTAACATTTATTAATCTACCGTACATTTTATACAAAAATTGTCAACTGTCTGTAGCACGCTAAATTATATAAAGAAGTGAAAAGTCCGTTTCAGATTTTAAAGAGCCCCAACGCAATTTCTTTTTGAAAACCAGTACCTATTTAAAAGCGGACAAATACGAAAAGTACGCTCCATAGCAATAAGAGCTTGAAAGGATCGCCTAGACAATAAGTAATAAGCTTATTATGGTTTTATTTACACGTTTAAAATGTACATGGGCGTGTAAATGGGTAAATCAATTACTTATGCACATTAAGTACAAATTAATTGTACTTTAATTGTCAAATTCATAGCTTAGAAAAAATCATTACATAAACTGTGGTCCGTATTTATATTTAAAATGAAAGATGAATTATGTCACTTAAGAACTGCTCGCCAACACAGCAGAGACAACTCGTTTGAAGGTCGATTGTTTTGTAGTACTACGACCATACATTTTGTTCTATCCATCCAACGTAATTCGATACTCTCGTATACACACCGGGAATGCCGATAGCTCCACACCCTCTTCCGAACGACGTAATACCAACTATCGAATACATACAGCGAACATTTGGATCTGAATTAATGATTAGAAGAGGTCCACCAGAATCTCCCTACAAATAAATAAAATATAGGCAAGGTGAAGCCTACTTGATTTTACCTGGCAAGTGTCTCTGGATAGTTCATGGTGCCCGGTACAAACTTGTGAAGAATCGTCAATTCCCTTCCTTAATCTCATACCTATATTTGCCCTATATGTACGATTACATTCGGCATGTGTAAAAAATTCCAACGTCACTTTAAGTAGGTCGTCACTACCACCGTCCGTAAATCCAACTTTACCCCATCCTGCCGCAACTGCTTTCTTTACTGGAATTTCGAAGTTTGTATGCAAACATGCCGGCCTTGCATACGAATTTAAATTTACTTTTCTATTCAACTTTACTAATCCGATGTCATGGTAATTTGAGGGAGGTTTAAAATCTGGATGTCTAATCAACTGCGATATAGTAAAATCTTGTACGTTTTCATCACCACTATTCGAAAATAGTTTCACATCGCCAAGTCTAACATATTTAGGTTCACCCCTGAAAAAAGTCAAATATGTGTAGGTACCTAATAAGGATTTACTGAAATGAGTTAAGTTTCTTACAATTTTTATCATTTGTGTACTTATGTTCTTATCCTGAAATATTAGTAGTATGGTATAGCCGTTTCTAAATATGACCTTGAGCTGTGAAGGTCATTGGGCGTTAAAGGTTGTTAACTGTAGATGGGTCATTAACCTTATTGTCCATGAGAATGACCTTTTCTATTTAAAGGTCGTTCACTTTTTGATAAAAGGTTATCGACCTCGTCTGTTCTTAAACCCTTCAGCTTAATAGTTTTGATCTCAGTAGATAGGAAGCCACTTATGCGAGACAGTCACGTGACACTCCAGACGTGAGGTTCTGCGTGGTCTAAACTTACTGAACGTCATCGTGGTTGTTGGGTAAGCTACATATCTGTTAAAAACACAGGTCTGTTCATCAGAAACAGGTTTGATGATCAGAAACAGGTCTGTTCATCAGGAACAGGTCAGTTTTACAGAAACAGATCGGTTAAATAAAAACAGGTCTGTTTCTGATGAATAGACCTGTTTCTGATTTAACAGTTCTGTTTTTTAACAGGCCCGTTTTTTAAAGAGACCTGTAGTTTAGACAACAACCACGATGACCATCAGTGTTTAGACCGCGCTTGAACCTCACGTCTGGAGTGTCACGTGACTGTCTCGCATAGGTGGCCCCCTATCTACTAATACTATTTAAAACCTTAAATGCCATTCCAGAAGCAATTATATGTCCGTTATGTTGCTTTAACTATACCCCCGTGAAACAAAACGTACTTTCCCAATAGTTAGAACGCCGATTAATAGGATAGGCAACCAAATTGCCTGAGGCGACAACTCATTACTTGAAAGGGAAAACAAAAGAAACTTCCTGGCACTGGCCAACAGTTTGCAACTTTTTTTATGTGCCGCACATCGTCCAATCTCCAAGTTAGTATAATACCCTTGGGGATGGCGCCCAGATCTCGCCAACACCACATCTTGTAGCCCCATCCCTAAAGTTGTTAATTACATGGCCCCGATAGGTACACGTACACTCCTCGTCTTTTTAAAAGCGTTCTTCTACGGGCTCGCATTTACTGCCAGCCAGCCAGCCAAACTGCGATTAAAAGCTACATTTTTACAAATAAGTTTGCACAAATGCGCTAAAAAATGCTACTCAATACAGTATGTACCTTTTTACGAGCCATACAAATAAAGTTGATGTTGATGAAAATCTCACAACGGTATCTGTTCTGGTTTTCTTTAAGCATGATACTAACTCTAATTTGACGTCGTATCTTGAATGGTTTAATAAAGCCCTCATCGCACTTATATCGTAAATAATTATTATACAGGGGGTCCAAATTAAAAGGTACATGCTGTAATAGCAAATACAGTAGGTATAAGCATAGATTGTTAGGTAAACATACGCCCGATCTTGTTTCGTTTTCTAGTTATCAATTGTAAGACATAATTAGGGTCGCCTGTGACGAAATCGTTGCTGAGTAATATCTATCAATTGCTAATGATGTTAATCAACGTACCACAGTTTGTCTTCGTACGGGTTGTGGACGGATTGTGAAATATAGTATATTGTTTATCAAGAACGAGAAGCGAGTTTGTCGTCCGTGGTAAACACTAAATTTTTTTTATTAGTAACTATGCTGGAATTTCTTGTATATAAACGGCTAGTCAACATCACAGGCATAGAAATCAAAAGAGACAGAGAAGTAAAATGTCTCTGCCTGTTTTCCGCTTCTCTGTCCTTAGCAACGAAACGATACTTCGCTGTGTGAATGTGATCAGCGAAATGTCCACATTTGACGTACGTATAAAAAAAATAAAAATTTTTTGATATGACTTTTACCTTTATTTTGTAACTGAAAACAATATAATGGTACTTTGTTTACTTTCAAGCTGCCATAGCTTGAAAACGAAGCAAGATTGGACGTATGTTTATCTAAAAATGTATCAATGCTTATAGGTAGGTAGGTACTGTACCTGCTATTACTCGGTGGACCTTTAAATTTGGGACACCCTGTATACCTACCACATTAGTAATTGAATACATTATTTCATCGAGTAACTTACAGTGAACTCTGATACATGCAGTGGGCAGCTGTCAATACAAATTCGTCACTTATAAGACTGCCACCACATTCCCAGGACGGTTTACCTTTATTATCAAATCCTATTAGCGCCTAAAATTGAAATAGACTTTACGTAAAATATTTCTTTTCGCCTAAATACCATATGCGGAAATTCTCTCGTAAGAGCTTCAGTTCCACCGACGATGTTTGGAATGGCTACCAGGGCACATGTATCGCTGGTTACTTCAGAATAATTCACGAGTTCTTTTTCATAAACATATTTCTGATATTCCCAACATTCTATAAAATAGGTATATTGTCCTTACTGGATCAAGGTGATCACGCCACTATACTTACTTTTTCTACTCGTCGCTCCGTATCCTTCATACGCCGGCTCTGTGGCTATTCTTGACTCTGGGTTGGAGGTCGTAGATACCTCCTCACAGCAAACGACAGGGAAAACACCTTTAAATCCACATAGATCCGGAGAAATGCCTTTTTTCAGTTTTTCCCTAGCTGGTATACACAAAGATAGTACTCTACATACCCCTTTACTGTTTGAAGATTGTAGAGTGCACCGGTCCCCTGCAATACCACAGAAAACTAAGTAAATTGTTTGTGAAGAAAAGACATTCATTTCACAAAAACAATATTCTCCAGATGTACACGTAAAAAATGTGTAGGGATTTACATTGAATAGATCATTTGTTGAAAGCATCCATCATTATACGAGGTATACCTACTATCACAGATTAACTGCTCCTATCTACCAAATGATCCAATACGCTACTCATTACCGTTGAGTGAAAGTTATTCAATTTATTTAAAATTTTGCGAGATCCCGCAAATACCGCGATTCTGCGGGATTAACAGCTAACGATCCGGCAAATACCGGGATTGAGATTTTGCTGCAGGATTGCATTCCCTACAACGGACGAAACAGTGCAGATAGCTAAAATATTGCTCAAATGGACCGTTGAGTGAAGTAGAACAGTTGTATATATTTTTTTACAGTTTATTTAATCAAAGTATAATCAACTTTGTTCTTTTATGTAGGTATAGTTTGTGTTAAAATGGAATTTAGTTTGAAGTGGGTGCCGAAGTAAGAACCGAACAACGTAGGTCATTTAATGCTACTGCCTTACTGCCTATTTGGTTTAAAATCACATTTTTTAATATGAACTGTAAGTTGTGGACTGAACGTAGTTTAAAGCCTGTCTCACAATTGACGCCAACGTGAACGCTAACGCGAACGTGAACGTGAGCATTTAATTAAAACATGAATATTTACTATTTCCATTCACATATAACGCAACGGGAACGGGAAAACGTGAAACAAACGCGACAGTTGGTCAACTTTTATCTTTCCCGTTCCCGTTGGCGTTTTAAACATGCGCGCGCTTGCGATCCAGCCACATAACCTTTAAAGACCAAACTTAACTATTTTTGTACGAAGTATTGCATGATTATCCGTTTGTTGAATTGAATAGAATAGTCTGTGACTACCACAGAACACATTTTAATAAACAAAATATTCCGTGACAAAACTTAACACTCCAGGAGCGTAACGTTAATTGTGAGACTGCGAATTTGTTCATGTTCACGTTACCGTTTGCGTTTCCGTTGGCGTTTACGTTTGCGTCAATTGTGAAACAAGCTTAACTGTTACTGTATAAATAGGCACCCTTCCAGAACATATTTTTATCTTATAAAAGTAGACATAGGGAAAAACAATACACGTAACTTTCTATGTCTACTTCTTAATAAATATCGCACTGTATATGATCTAAAGGGCTGTTCAGAGTGGGAGCGGCGATCGTGACGTCGAGAATAGTGTTTCATAGTAGTCTATGAAGCGCTGAATATTAGATGAGAAGAATTTTTGGTTTATAAAATGGATCCAATTTAAAACAGTGCATTTTTGAATGTCACTAGACCAGGGCCCTAGCCAGCGATTTGTTGCTATCAGGGCCTTGATTGTTATAGACAGGGCGAATTAAAAAAGTGGTGTTTACGTTGCGCTAACTAGGGGGGGGGGGGGGGGGCAATTTTTTCAAAAGTTCAAGTTGAAGTTCAAGGTTATTAATTGATTATTTCATTGCTTTTAACAAATTATCAACCAACAACAGACAATGCAGCAGTAATAAAAGTGTATTATGGCTTGGATTGGATATCATAAGGTTAAGATATTTTAACCCCTTATCGTGATCGGTTATAATTCCTTATACCTCAAGAGTGGATTGTAGGAGGAGGGTACTTACAAAGACAAAATGAATGTTTTAAACAAATGGGCTTTATCTGCACAAGAGTATTGCAAAATTTATCCTTGTTTAGACCACCATCGCTATTCTCCTGCCAGGGCGAAAATTTTGTTTGCCAGGGCGGCACGATCCGCCCCCTCTGGCTACGGCCCTGTACTAGACACCCGGTATTATTTACTTATACCTACTATAAGATTCCAGTTTGGAACTCCATAATGCGGTTCTTGTCTGTATTTGTGCAATTAGTATCTCTGCAACGCCCTCCTCTGGTATAAATTTCAGCAGTGACATTTTCTCCTCCCGAACACATTTTATTTAAATCAGTGTAGTTCAGGCGTCAGAGCGTTGAGTGAAAGATAATTACTCAATGGTCAGGGGTTTTGATAAGGAAAACGTTTTTAATAAGCCAATTGTTTTAATCTCCAATTCTGGCCGGAACATTTGTTTAGACAAATGGAAAGGTGAATGTTTATGATTTTTTGGAATAGGGAATATGCATGTGGTTTAAATTTACTTGATTCTATCTCCCGCGAATATTTATTGTTCTGGCATTGTACCTAAACCATTACTTTCTTATTTAGTTTGTTTTTAATTGCAAAAAATGTTAATTCAAATGAGCAAAATAAGTGAACGAAATTCACATTTGCGAAACACATCACTATTGGACGAATGAAAGTGACGTCAAATGCCACGCTATCGCATTTATTGTATCAATATTCATAAGTACTTAGTCCAGTCAAATTGCGGTTTGGGCAGATTGGGCTGGTTGTTGTCATTTCACTCGACGAAATCAAGTGTATTCTATGTAAAAAGAACCGCTGAATCCGAAAATCCTAGTCCCCCTAGCCGAAAACTCCCGGAATATATTGTTATGTATAAGCAAAAAATATATATCAAATGACGGTAATAATTTTAATCCTGTGTTCAACTTCAAATTCATGTGATATTTTTTAGCATAGCCTGATGATGGGTGGTTAACCCGAAATCGATTGCTTTATAGAAACAATAAAACATTTGTGGTTCCTTTTAATATTTCAAATAATCCGATACAATTATCAAATTCAAGATACACCCTTAAAAAGAGACTCAAGCAAAGGATTTAGGTGTTCTGTTCGATAACATGCTAACATTTAGCTTACACATTGATACAATTGTTAGGCAATCTTTTAAAACCTTAGGTTTTATTATACGCATTGGTTCAGATTTTGCAAATTTGTCAACTATTAAGTATACTACTTTTTTCTACATTTGTACGAAGCAAGCTTGAATATGGTGTACTACTGTACTAGTATGGAATCCAGCATTTAAAAAACACGAAGAATGCCTAGAACGTATACAACGTCGTCTTTTAAAATATGTAGCATTTCGCTGTGATGGATACTACCCTACAAGAGGCTACCCACAAAATCTACTGCTAGAAAGATTCAATCTTTTACCCTTAAGTAGCAGACGTAAAGAATAAGTGTGTCGTTCTTGTACAAATTATTATGGAATGAAATTGATTGTGTCACATTACACAATTATTTAAATTTCTCTGTGCCTCGTTCTTCCTCCAGGCATTTCCTAACTTTTAAATTACTCTATTGCAGAACAAATCTCTTACAAAATTCCCCAATTTATCGAATGTGTTATAATTATAACTCGGTATGCGATACTGTTGATATATTTAACACTAATTTAAAATTCCTTATAAGTATGATCCAATAATTTTTGTCTTTTTCTTTTTTGCTTTTGCCATTGCACTAATACAAATTTACCAATATTGTATTTTGATTTATGACTTTATTTTGTTTATTGTATAACTCTGTTAACAATTTTCTCTCGCTTTAGTTATAAATCTATCATTATTATTTTAGTTACATTTTTGTTAATTTTTCTATATTTCTGTGCGACTTTTATTGAACAATATTTAAGTTTGTCCTGTATTTAGACTAGATAGTCTCTTTGGACAATAAATTATTATTATTATTATATTTCTGGTGGCATTTTGGAAAACTAAGAAAATTCTTGGGATTTTGAAAAAAAATCGCACAGTCCGTCGATTTGCAAGAATCAACGGCACAATTATTGAAAAATGTAGTTTTAGGGTTTACTAAGTACTAACTGTAAAAAAATTGAGAATGCTTTGGGAGTGGTCCCCTTGGACCTGCAAAAAAACACTTTATCGGGAATATTTCTAATAGTGTTTTTGCACTTTTGTATAAGACAATACCTATAAAATGGTTTTTTAGCTTTTTCCAGGGTCTGAATAGCTATTACAACTGAAAATCTGTATAAATAACTCAACACTAAAAGTAAACAAATACTGGTCGTGACTTGTGACGTTATCATCGAGCGATAAAAATAGTTCAGTACTTTTTTGTTCCTTGTTAAATGGTCTACAAAAAGTAATTCCACATTTTTCTTTCTCAATTCTCAATTTTGGAGGGAGTTGTAACGCCCAAACCCCCCCTTCCATGAGTGAGCCCCTGATATTTTAAACATCTGATGTAATTATTTTCATTGTTTTGTTGCCTCGAATAGATTTTGTTTTTTTTAAATTCATCACAGCCTACTTGATTACAATATAAAAACCGTTGATATAACTGGTATCTTTTAAAGGAAGTTGGTAAATGTTCCTCAAAGGTAGCCATCTTGAATTTTTTTTGACATCAATTCTAAATTAGACGTATCAAAGACAGTAACTTTTATATTCACACTATTTTTTATATCTCTTATACTTTCGATGATATGACATTAAAGAAAATATCCAATTTTAGTATTTCGAATTTACGTCGAACCTATTCGACATTTTGAATTTCCACAAGGAAATTTTAAATAAGCATCTAAAACTGCAAAACATTGCCCATTTCACCAATTCCCTATCTTTAATAATAAGAAAGTTACCAATGCAATCCCACACGATATGGGACACACTGTATACTATATTCCATAGATACATAATTGACACATAAGCATTGAATTCACACATATAATATATGCGTTTAAACGTCTATATCTCACTTAATTTTTTTCGTACAGAAAATGTCCAGTGAGCAAAATGATTGCAATTACAAAAGGTACAATTTGATCTTGTAGCCATTTTTTACGTTTTCTTATCTCCAGTTGTTTCCGTTTTAGCGGATTGACTGGTACTTACTTGGTAGATATAATAAATACAAATTTAACGTCAAATGATTGGTTATATTGACAAAATAAAAATCGATCCAAGTCCCACTTTCTCTTACATTTTCTTATTTAAGTAGATTTTTAAGTAATTCTTTCAAAGTTTCAACCAAGTTCACGCTCAGTTCTCTAGTAATTTGGACCTGAAGTTAAGCGTGA